CTGGCAGTGACAGGGTGTGATCCGTGCCCTGTCTCCAGCAGCCGTCTGCCAGGCTCCAACATCAAAGGGCTGCCTGTGCCGGATCCCCGAGGGGCAGCGCTTCCCAAAGTGGGGCTGAGCAGGCTCCGTGTCTTCCCTGCCCCCTGTGCGGGTTCTCCCTGGCCCTGGGCGGTGTGGGGGGCCCAACTGGCCCGGCCCAGCCCCTGCCCCAGCACCCGGCAGGGTGGGGAGAGCATCCTCTGATCTCGGGGCTGCAGGGACTGCAGAGCCTGGGGTGCTGTGCATGGCAAAGCTGGGGAGCTCGTTTGGAGCCGGCCGGGCCGGCCGGGATGCTTTCCTGGCTTGGCTTTCCCAGCCTGGGAGCAGGACGAGCCGGGGGCAGGACGCGTGGGAGCGTGGCTGGACTCGGCGTTTCCCCTGTGTGTGTGCACCCATTCCCTGCCCTCCTTCTTTGAGCCACTTGTCCCTCTGGTCCCCACGTGTGACTGGTGCTGAGCGGGATGAGATGGAGAGGATGGAGGAGGGGGTCTCATGGGAAGCCTGCACCATCAGAGTACATGGTCCTGTCCCACTTCCTCACTGGCTGCAGGATCCCACTGTTCTGCAAGCAGATACTCATTTACAGGGACAGTTGTGTCCCTGGGCACCTGAGGCTCTCACTGCTCAGAGCTCATGCTAACAAAGGGCTCAGAGGGCAGGTGGGAAGCGGCACAGGGCTGTCAGTACACTTTATCCCTCTTTTCCTCAACCTGTGCTCGGAGGTCTCATCCCCTCCCCTTGCTCCAAAGCACTGCTGGGACTTGGCCGTGCTCTGGGCTCTCTGCCTCAGGATGGGCAGTGCTGCCAGGTGCCTGTGAAGTCTCTCGGGTTACCAGCAGCTTCCCCTGGTAGGTGGCTGGAGAGGCAGCGCCAGCGATGCCTGGCCTGGTTTCGTTTGTGAAAGCGCCGGCAGCGGGAATGTCACAGGATCCGCTCTCCCCGAGCGAGAGGAGGAGAAAAGGGCTCTGTGTGCTGCTCCCCTGGGCAGGACGGGGTGGGCAGCTGGGCTGTGCGGGCAGCAGAGCCCCACTGCGCTGCCATCACCCCTCGGGGTGAGCTGGGAGAGGAACATCGAGGGTGGGGGGAGATTTTGGCTGCTGTGAAAGAGCTTTGAGGGCAGGAGTGTTGAGGGGGGTGTGGTGCTGGTTTGGGGGCTGTGATGGTGATGGAGCTCTGCTGGCCGGGGCGGCTGTGCTCCGATGTCCCGCTCCAACCTCCCGGTGGCCCCTTTGGTGCGGCTTGCAAAGTATCTCACAAATGCTGAACTTGGCCCCGAAATCTAAATACGAGGCAGGGACAGTCCCCAGATGGCCTAAATCAGCAGCACGGTTGCCTGGCCCAGCTGGGGAGCTCGCCGGGAGTGTTTGTTTTATGGAAAACCAAAGGCTGGAGGAATGCCGGCCTGGAAGGAGACTTGGGAAGGGGAAGGCGTTCGTGCCGTGCACACGCGCTCAGCCGGGCAAGCGCCAGATCCTGCGAGGGAGCGGGTCCTGCTCAGGCTGGGCCTCTCTGGGGTGGTGGGATCCTGCACGGGGCTGGACAGGGAGTGTGGCCACGTGCCACCAGTGCCCTGCCTGGCCCCATATGGAAGCCATGCACGGAAGGGCTGGGCACCAGGACTTTGCACCCACTGGGGGTCAGAGTCCATCCTCCCCGGCTGCAGCCTGCCTGAGGTCCTGTTGCTCCTGCAGGGGACAGGGGGTGTCACAGGGTGGATTTGGGGAGGGACGGGGGGTGGAGCCCTCCCTTTGCCATGCTGGGAGCCGGGCGGTAGGTCCCGCGGCGCCCTGCGGTGTCCAGCTGAGCAG